TTATTGCTATCAATTTTAATGTGAGCCGTAATCTACATACAAGGAAAAAGCTAATTAAGGTGACAGAAATTTACACTTGTTTGAAGAGGAAGTTTTTTTAATTTCGCCGAGCCCACAGCTGGAAGAAGGATAAAGAAAGTTATCACAGACATGAAGACTGCTTCTGTTTCAAGTCAGGATGGTACCAGTGCAGTGGGGAGGTCAGCAGATTATGTGGCAAGTAGGGCATTGGCTAGAATTTCACTGCAGAAAACACTGTATAAAGTCTGTGCTTAAAAGGAAAAAAGAGAGAGAACAAAACAGGTAACTTGCATAAATCATATTGCTAGGATATATGTATGTGTGAAAACATTTCTGTAGAAGTGTGATATCCTTGAAGGGTAATCATGAATGAAAGATTATAGAGCTGCTTTTCTCTGATCAGACAAAGTATTTCCCCATCCACTTCCCCTTTGTATTGTTTTTTGTTTTCCGAGACAGAAATAACAGGCAGAGCCTGGAAATGATCAAAATAGGCTGGGAGATGTGGGAAACACCTGACATTATAATAAATACCAGCAAATGTAAAGTCATATGCAGGCACACAAAGACAAATGAACAGGATGGATTCAATTTGGAGATTATCTTTTTAGAAGTCAGCAACATCAGTAATGGGTAGAAAAAAAGTGTTGTGTAATTATAGACTGAAGGCCAGGCTGGTTGCAAGTCAGTGCACAAACTACAGGCAACAGTGTTTGCAAGACTAAGTTCATAAGAGCGTCTGCACTTGAAATATTGTATATTTCCTTTAGATCCTCACATGTACTGAAACTGCAATTTAAAAGAGAAGACAATTAATATGGGGGGGGAGGGGGAAGTAATGGAGTGTGTGTGGAATGACCAATAGAACCAATCACTGCTCAGTAAAAATCAGAGGAATTGGAGACACAGGTAAGTGAAGCTATACGTGAAGAAGTGGAATTATTTGTATTTTGAAAGAAATAAAGGACATAAGCGATATCTCCATAAAGCAACTGTGAGAGGTGTTTCAAGGACAGAACCCTTTGATATCAAAACACTTTGTATGTTAACTCCTCTTGTAAAATTAAACAGAGCAAGGTCAAAGAAATGAGTATTTGAAATTATTATTTTAAGTTCCTTCATCTATCATTTTCTTGATAACTATATAGTTTGCAAATACTTTAGCTGTGAGCTGCTAAATAGAAGGCCTATTGTGCCCTATTGTGAGAATGCCTTTAATGGATTCTCTATTTTCCCATTTTCACTTGGGTTTTAGTATTTTTCCTGTTTTAAAACCCAGGGAGGAAAAACCTTTTATTCACTGTTTTGAAGCTCTTTGAGAGCAACGCAGAACCTGTGCATTTACTATCAAAGCCTTTGATTATGTTGAGCTGGAGGGGTTATTCCCTCCCCTTTCCTACCAGTGACTATTGCATTCCCTGTAGATTTATGCCTTTTACCACTTCAAAAATTTCAAAATACATTTTAATCAATAGGAAACTTTGTAAGACTGTTGTTGATGGTTGCAGATTTTTATTTATTTATTTATTTTGAGTGGCAACACCGCAGGTGATACACAGCCAGAGAAAGAAGCACAGCACTGCATGGCACCTCACAGACAGTGGGAACATGCAAGGCAAGGCCTTTCCAATGCTGTCCTCTGTTGACAATATTCTCTTCTAGGAAGAGGGAAAGCACCTCAAGCATTACCAGATGAATGAATCATCCTGTTGCTTTGGAAAACAAAGCCAGGAGAATTCCACTTTTTTTCCCAACTTTAGTAAAGCACTTGGTGTTTTCATGCTCTGTAATTGTAGCAATTAAAACTGACAAATGTAGAACAGTTTGCAGGTTTACCAAATGGAAGTATGGGACGCAAATTATCACGCTAGCACTGTGAGAGCAAACTTCAGTATTGTTTCACAAATATACTCTTGTGGCTAATTCTTTAATTTAGGGTGATGCCATCTTAGTGTAAAGTGAAATAAAGACTTATGAAATACTTTATTACAGAAAGTAGACTTAAGCTGGCCCTACAATGTATGAAAATTCAATCACTTAAGGTTCTTCATACAGGAATTTTGGGCGATTGGACTGAAATGGCACTAGTTTCTTCCTGTTCCCCTTATACTTAGACGTGTTGTGGAAGAAAAGGAGTCAAAATACATACAATGACTCACTATCTTCTATTTGAGTTGAAACCAAAGCGACTGCAAATAAAAGCCAGGGAATCATAGAATCATAGAATCACCAAGGTTGGAAAAGACCTAAAAGATCATCCAGTCCAACCGTTCACCTATTCCCAATAGCTCCTACTAAACCATGTCCCTCAACACAACATCCAGTCTTTCCTTGAACACCCCCAGGGTCGGTGCCTCCACCACTTCCCTGGGCAGTCCGTTCCAGTGCCTGACCACCCTTTCTGAAAAGTAATACTTCCTCATGTCCAGCCTGAATCTCCCCTGCCGTAGCTTGAAGCCATTCCCCCTGGTCCTATCACTAATGACACGAGAGAAGAGGCCGACCCCCAGCTCACTACAACCTCCCTTCAGGAAGTTATAGAGAGCAATGAGGTCTCCCCTGAGCCTCCTCTTCTCCAGGCTGAACATTCCCAGCTCCTTCAGCCTCTCCTCATAAGCCCTGTGTTCCAGACCCCTCACCAGCTTTGTTGCCCTCCTTTGAACACGTTCCAGGGCCTCAATATCTTTCTTGCAGTGAGGGGCCCAAAACTGGACACAGTACTCGAGGTGCGGCCTCACTGGTGCTGAATATAGGGAAAGCAGGACAAAGGAGAAATGTGTACTGTGCTCCCTCCTCAGCAGCTGGAGCTTTCTGGGTACAAGAGGGCCTTGTACCTGGAAGGATTTTAGCCCATTGCAATGCATATTCCAAAGATCAGTGCAATGCAGGTGCATGTATTTCAATTCTAAAATGTTCTGAATCTTCTTGCGTGGTTGTCCTGCCCTTACTTAATTTCAGATTCCCTTTGAATGCTACTGAAATCCAAGGAACAGAAAAATTCCTTTTCTTTTCCAGGTGTAGACTGTGGTTAACTTCCTCTGTTGTGGTATTTAATTGATAGAAACTTCCTTAAAAAAAAAAAATCTTCATGATATCTGGATCGTATTTCATTTTCTATTTCATCTAAGTACCTAGAACAGTCCAGAAAGAAGAATACAGGTAGTGATGGTATTGCTTCCAGGTAAGAAATAAGTAAAATCACATCTGGTTTGCTGCTCTTAACACAGTTAAAGAATGCAGTTGTGTCCACTATGTTGTGCAATTCACAGAATAAACCAGCATTTATCATAGTAAATGGCAAGAGATTGATGGAGACTAATTACAACATTTCACAAGCGATAATTGTTGTTAAATGTTGGTATTTACATAATCTTTGTGTGGCTCTGAAGAGCTCTCTTCGATTTCATTTGATATGATGACATCACCTTCAGTTCCCTAAATTCCAGACTGTGCTCTGTCTTGTAGCTCTGCACTAGGGAACAAGGTGCTGGGCTGCCCTTCCCATCATGATGTTTTCAATTCCAAGAGATGCACTTCAAAGTGGGCAGAACTTGATACAATCTTTGAAACCTTGGAGTTGGAGAACCATATGGATACCTATATATTCTTTTAGTTGTTGCTTTGTTTCTGTGTGTGTGGATGGTTGTGGCTGGGCTACTTAGAATCCAGCTTCAGAACATTGGATAGGTTTGATGTGTTTGTTCAACCTTCTTTGCATAATTCTTTGCATAAGTTGTAATTTAATTCTTTTTCTTATTAAGCATAAGCTTGAATAGAAGTAAGTACTGAGCAAAAGTGTTTGTGTTGTGTTGCTAAGGCTGGATATGCAGCTATGAAGCTGTTGTAGAACAACAATATGCATTATCTTTACATTATGGACAGCTAATTTTTGTATTGTATATTCAAAACATGAAAATAATCTGTAACAGAAGGTCTTCTGTAGATCTTTGTTCTCAGCCTGCATTTTTTCAGTCATTTTGTTTCTTTTCCAAATGGTCTAAACTGTATTACATCTCCTGAAAAATTTAATTAAAAAAAAAAACAGCAACAACTTCACACTAATTAGTTAATTAGGGGCCATAAAATGTTCTTTCTGTCCCTCTCCATTTTTATTCTTGTTTATTTCTGAAGTGTGAATGGGGTGGAAAATCCATCCACTAAAAGGGAGATGGAGATAATTGAACTCTTTTCATACAGTTCCAGGTAGAAATCAAATCCAAGACCCAGAGGTGAAAGGTGAGCTCTGTAACTACTATACCAAACTATTCTTGGTAATTATCAGCATGAGCATAATTATTAACATTTCAATTATACTCACAGCACTACATCTCTCCAAGGGGTTTAACTCCACTGATTTTTAACTTGTCTTGTTTTTTGGTAGACATCCAGTTGGAACAAAGTTGCTGGATAATATTTTTGACACAAAAGGGTAACGTACTTTTCAGAATATGTGATCTATATGTTTTGTCCTCAATGACACTTGCGTGCTTCCAGATTTTGATTGCTTGGTAACACTACTTGGCATGGTGAGGTGTCTATTTCAATAGATTTAAATAACTTGTTACACAAGAAAGAAATGAACAGCTCCAGACTATCCTCTCTTAAAGTCTAAAGTTGAAATTACAACTTAGATGAATGATACTGCATCCTTTGATTTAAAACAAATACTTGATCTTTGCTGCCTAATAACTTCTAATATAACTGCTTTCTAAAATTTAAATGCCCAAGTATGAAGACCAATGTTTTATGAATTTTAAAATATCTTATATATTTTTAACAGTTTGTGAGTATTAAGCAATTTAGGTTTGAAATAAATAAAAGATTTATAAGTAGAAATCACTTGCTTCTTCTCTATTGCTTCTGTATTATGGTTGAGTTCTGCCTGTACAGTGTTTGCTATCTGAGTAAAGTTGCCACACTATTCTGTATTTACAGGAGTGGTACTTTCAGAAAATGCTTATAAGAACAGCCTACCTGGGGAGGAATGGAGACTTCAGCTTGACTGCTGATAAGACAGCAAAAGCAACTTACCTAAGGACTTGCTGACCCTGCATAAGAGAAATTAAATGAAACAACATGTAGTACTGGTAGTATCCTAAGTTCCTGCTCTACAGCATGTGGGTTTGAAAGAACATCTGTTGAACCTGTTTAAAATTCTTAAATCTTCATTAAAAAAATGACGAGCTTCTAACAGGGCTGGAAGAAAGAACAGTGCAGCTTCCTATATATTCTTTCCTATTCTTGTGCTTTTTCATGGAAATCTGCTTATGGCCAGAAAATTATGCATTAGATGAGTCTTTGGACTAATACTGAATGGACACTTAAATTTTCTTCTGTAGGAACTGTTATTTCTTAAGGCTGCAACATAGCCTAAAAACATCTGCATACAGCAGCAGGATGTTGGAATATTGGCAGGATTTATGTGTAATCAGGATCCTAGAAAAAATACATATATTGCAAGCTTACATTTTTAATGGTGGGCATTGTACTTTGATAGTGTACACAAAAGATGCAAGAACATGAGAAACACAAATGCAATCTATGAAATGTCTTTGTTTCTTTCTAAAACAACAATAATAGAGAAATAGAAATGCCATAAGAAAAGTTCAGTAACACAAGAAAAAAATGCAATGGCTTTGGAAGACTCTCCCAACTTTCCCTGGAAAAGCAGGATGTACTTTTATGAAAAGATAAATCATAGTTAAGAGGGAAGGGTGGAAGAAAAGCACTGATTTGAGGAGCACTGTAGATACTACAGAAACTATTTTGCACAAGTTAGTGCTACACAAAACTTCAAAGTAAGTGGATCATGGAAGCTCAGAACAGGAAAACAAAGGCGAGCAGACAAATTGAACATTTACAAATATGTCAGGTTATGATGATGTCATTAGCAACTTGAAACAACTGCAAGTAAAACCAAGCCTTGTGCAATTGTGCAATGGAATGACAAAATATCACCAGGAGAAATGTAAGCAGTGTTTACAACCCCAGACAAAATATTCAACCTGAAATGATCTGGTATCAGCACATACGCAAGTTTATGATTTTTATCAAATATCTTTGTACCAAAAAAACCCAAAACAAAACACAACTCAGAATTGATTAGGTACCAGGAGTATCCTCCAACAATTACTATAAAATTGCCAAGGAGGAAAAGAAATGTCTTCTGGGCACATTACACCTAGAAATACATTGAGCGCTTCCACAGACTAGAAATTTCTTCCTTACAGCACACTTGTTCATAACTGTAAACAAAAATGTATGGGACAATTATCTAAACTGGAAATGGCTGCTTACCTGACAGTGTGATATTGCTAGCAGGTTTGGTTAACAGTACTTTCCTAAGTCTGGGCTGGCAATGTAGGATTGATAATGAAAATTATGGGCTGGTTCTCATTCCTAATGCAAGTAAAAGACATTTTCCTTCATAATAAATAGTACTAGTTTCCATGCTATCTGTCCTTCTGCTTTGCCAGAGCTTGATACCACTACAGCTGGGAATGATCACGTTCCAGATTTCAGCTGCTGCAGCTGACCATAGCCACATTCTGCATTCTCTGCCATCTCTGCTGTGAGAACAGTTACAGCAAACCTGCAGGTTTGTGACTGCAGGCGTATCTATAGTAAAGCTTTCTTTTTCAGACACTCTTCTTTTTTAAATGGCAGATTAATTTTTTAAAAATGGAAGATGAGAATAACCCAGAATATGCTGCTTTACCTCATGATGCAAACGTAAGTGTTAAAGGAAGACTGCAGATGAAATGCAGCCCCTTTTGTGTCTTCCTAGCAAACAGGAGATACAGGTTCAAACCTAGCATGACAAATCCAAAATGGTTGCTACAATGACATCTCCATTGAATTAAGAGATTCTTCTAGTGAGCTATAAATACACTGTGTGGAAGCTGAAAAATCTTTGTAACAACTGAAGGTACTAAAGGCCAGAGGTCAGTTCAGTGTTTATCAGTGCAGTTAAAAAACTGAGTCCCAAAGCTTGGCCAACCAGCACTGTCTTTTCTTAGATAAAACTCTCCTAGTGTTAAATAGAGTCTTAATGAGCTCAAGTTCATTAGTACAAGATAGCTGAGATCACACTTTCCTGGCTTCACTACTGCTTCAGCAAACCAGGTGAGCATTTATTTTAAATGCTAAGATGTAATTGGTAACAATAAATTCAAAAATAAATGAAAAGAAGGTCATGTGTGAGTAATATGGAAAGATCAGCAAGTCAAAGATAGTGAGCTTTGAATATTTTATACAAGTAAACAAGTAGACAAGTAAACATTAGCTTATGCAAGGATGTTGTCTGCCAAAATAAGGGTAAACTCCAAGAGCTGTTCCTAGTCACTGTAACATAAGATTGGACTATAGAACAAAGTAGCTCTACCTTTGTTCACATAAGCTTGAAGAAGATATGCACCAAGCTTCTCTAAAATAGCTTTATTAGAAAATACTGCAGCTGAAGAAGGGGTTATGTACCACAAGTCTATTGTCCCTTGTCATGGGTCCTTGCTGTGTGCCTGGTGAACAACGTGCTGCTTTAGGCAGGAGATCAAGCTGCTGGTGAAGCTGTGCAGTGTTAGATATGTATCCTGCTCCTGGCAGGATTGTGTTCATGTCTGGTTTCTAAAATGCTGCGTTTTGTCTCAGATTGGAAGTTGTGACAGTAGAAACTTAAATTCAGTGTCTGCAGCTACTGAGGGCAAATGGTTCTGTGGAAGTGCGTTTAGTCACAACCCTCTAGATATGGTCAAAGACGAGCTCTTGAAAGAGAGCTGTTTTAAGAAACACAACTGAATAGAATGGAAGAAGCTGGAGAAGAGTTGTTATGTCACCTTCAAATTGAGAGCAGGATTTTAAATTTTATTAAAGGATAAGAGGGAGGCACAGGGGGAAGGCTATCTTAACTGGTTAAATTTGGGCAGCATATAGGCTTTAAAATCAGCAGCGAATGGACCAGCATGTATGTGTATAGAAACTCTCTAATGTAAATTAGTGCCTTTTAAAAATCACTGTAAACTCTGTTTTCTGTAATTATAACAAGCCCTAGAGTTTTACCTATGTAATAGTAATTTTTCTTTACTGTCTTCACCATTATTTTCCTTTTGATTTATTTAACTACATCTAACTTGAGCAAACAATGTTAAGTGGGGAAACAGATGTGGTTAAATAGTCTGTAATTATGCCTTTAGTCATCTGTTGCCATCACAAGGCTCCTCCTGCTACCATGACCAGAAAAAGTGACCTAACTGATTTCACCATCAGCCTTGCCAGTGCCTGATGCAGAGTAGATGGCCTTATTAAGCAATCAGAAAAAAAAAAAGAAAAGAAAAAAAAGAAAAAATCAACCGTTGCAGTGGAATAGTAATCAGCAGTGTTTATACTGTCCCCACAATGCACAATCAGAATCATGAATTCTGCTAATTGGGTACCTTCTGCATCCAGAGTTGCCTGCAGTAGGAAACAAAAAGGATTTGAAAATTAGTGTTTGTATCAATTAGCTTCTGTCTGAAGGCTTAGCCCAGTTCATGGAAGCCATGATTTAAACAGAGATTATTATAGTAACTCTGGTATTTAAATGTCCTCTGTCATTATTCAGCATCAAATTTAGCATAGCAAGACTAATTTGGATTTACTCTTTAAAATATGATTGTTCGGAATTTTCCTAATCCTTAACTGCAAACCATATATTTTATGCTTTTTTAAATATTTCCCACATCAGTTATTTTCTTTTAAAGATTATGAGCTTGTTTCAGACTAACTGTAGAGGTGATTAAATGTGTTTGCTATTGAATTGCTGAGATTGAACGAATAGCATGTTGAGAGAGTTGGACTATTATTTTTCACAGAATGATCCACACTCTATTGGCATATTGAGGAATTCCACGCTTTGTAAAAATGGAAGGACTTCAAGTTTATTGTTTATAAACAGCTACAAATTCACACCAGTGAGTTGTGATATATGAAAGTTTAAGAAGAGAAATTTAGGCATGCATTTTTCTGAATAAACTGTTAGTGTATTTACAGATGAGCCTCAGTCAAAGCTCAGTGGATTATGTTAAGTTGATTATAAAAAGCCTTTAGCCCTTTTCTTTCCTTTGAATCTTCAGAATTTCTAATGTAAATGTTCTGATAGACAAATCTCTGTGCTTCAGTTCTTACCATTACAGACTCCTTGCTGTTGGTGCTTACAGGACATATTAACAGTAGTACTATTTGAGAAAACTCTTCACCTTTTCTATCAAAGCACTGGCTTCATGTTCCTGCTTTTCTCTCCATATGGTTACTGAAGGTCTGTGACAATAGCATACAAGAAAAGCTTAGAATTTAGGAAAAAAAATGGAGAAGAAATAGGAAAAGGGAAGTAAAATATCTTTAAGTCAGACCTCAGTTTTAGCTCTGCTCTTTAAAGGTTACGCTGAACAACGGAAATGTATTATCTGCAATTTATTAATAAGTTCCCATCCTCATTAGTTAACTGCTATTTAATCTGTATGTGATTAACTGTGTGACCTTAAAAAGATTGTTATTACTACAAAATATTACATTATGAAACCATTAAGTTATAGGAAAATATTGGTACTTTGAAGACAATCAGAATGATAAGTGTGATAGTTTTTAGAGATACTGTACCAACACTTCCTCTGACTGATTGCATTACATATTGATATTAGCAAGTATCAGTATGTAGCGCAATCAGTCAGTGGAAAATGAGTGAAATGTGAACTAATGAGAGCTAATTGTCTCATATAATAGCAAGGACAGAGAATTCTATCAATTAAATTAGTCTGAGTTGAAACAACTATCAGTGTAATAATGTTGATAATATCAACCAAATTAGATGTAATGAAATAAATGCTATGCTAAAGATCAAGGATACCCATTGGCTCTGACTCCCACCTGGTGCTACCTAGTGAGAGAGCCTCATGACTTAGGGCTCAGTTTGCTCAAATTTCTGCCTACAACACATGCATTTATGTTCCCAGGAAACTGAAGGAATGTTGAATTCTTGTAATTCGAATATGGCAAACAGAGGAAGCCTTCTGAGAGAGTGAGACAATGAACAACACGTAGTACAGATGTACCACTAAAGACTATTGCTATCTCTGGCACACCTGTTAGTGACAGTGGGTGATGCCATAGGTGGGAAATGCAGGCTTGAGCAATCCTTGCAAGTCTGCCCAGGTATCAAGGTTTTTTTTCTTTTTTCCCCCCTTAGATATTACTGCATTTAAACATCTGTCTGACATAATCAGTAATGGTCTTATAGTCTGTAACACTGTTTTCCCTTCTCCTGCTAAGTCCCATTCCTTTTGGCTGACGTTTGCCAAGGCTTTCCAAGTCAGATATTCACAACCAGATCCCAGACCCTTAACTCACAATGGGGACTGGATGGGGATGGTTGTGTTTTCAGAAAAGCTGAGACCACAGCAGGTCCCACTGAGGGCATGGAAAGCATGAAGTTTTCAGCCCTGGTATGTAGGAATCCAAACGGAATTTTTCTATCCTTACCAAAGAAAACACAAGTGTATTATAATTGAGCTCTCAGTGATACCCCTACTGAGTAAAATTAATATAGATAATTAATAAAATAACTTTAATAATTAATATAGTTATACAGAATCAAAGAAAGAAAAAGCTAGAAATAAAAGGAGAAAGCTTGAGTTAGAGAAGGGTGACACACAGTTCATCAGCAGCACTGAAACCACGTAATCAGCCACTAATTGATCAGTTTATTATTTAGAAAACATTTGACTTCCTTCCACCTTACAGGCTTCAGAGAATGCTGGGGAATGCGGAGACTCAAAAAGCATGTGTACTAACATAAGTAGTAAAGATAAAATGATTTTTTAAATAATTAAAAATATGTTTAGAGATATTGCTTTAACATAGCCAAAAAAGAAGCTAAAGATCTTACATTTGTGTATGAATGGGGAAAAAAATCAAGAAAGCAACTGCAGAAGCACTAGTGGCGGAATCACCCAGGGGAGAACAGCCAGCTTGAAGGCTGAATTGATGATGGATAGACTGGCAAGGCCACAAAGACAGTAGCCCATCTGAAAAAGCACCTGGAAACTCTGGTATGACATCAACATGAGTCATGAATGAATATGCAGATGTACTTACCAAAGGCATAGTGAGTAGTGATTGAATAAATTTATTAGCTAATTCTCTTAATACATGAGGATAAGTGAAATATTTATTGTGGAGTCTTAGATGTGATTACCAATGGTTATTTTCAGAGGACCTTCCAGCTCCTTTTTGTTCCTTCTACTTTTCATTTAGCAAGGCTATTATCTCACCTATTTTTGAGTTGCCATAATTTCATCCCCTCATCTGTTAATGGACTTTCTTTCTCTTTAGTATTTACTTCCCTATCTATAAAAGCTTTTCTAATCCTCCCAAGCTCTTTTTATTCTTTCTGGGCTTGATTGTAATGCTACACCCTACCCTGGCTAAGTAGCTCCGTTGCCCCAGGAGCAGCCTGGAGAATTAAGTAGGACTTGAAGTTCTGGTCTCTTTCTGTGCTCTGCTTCAGAAGACAAGGCTGGACTGTGGCTGTGTGACTTCCAGTCTAACCAGTAACCCTGGCTGACAAACCAAAGAGAAAAGCATTTTGCAGGTACTGTGACTTCTTTCCCCGCTGACCTGCTTGCACGTGGTGAGTCCTGCTCTTCATGCCAAAACTTCTGCTGCACAAGAGAGTAGTGTGCAGCAGGTTATGTAATACTTTGCTCTTTCTGTTAGTCCCAGCTTCAGCTTCTTATTTTTTTTATAGCCTTCTGTTAGATGAGGAGATCTTATTGCTGTGCAGGCAGGCAGGCTCAGGAGCACTGTCAAAATGCTGTAGTCAGGTAGTCTGGATGTGAAAACAGCATCATGCACTGGTGCAACATCAGTGGAGACGGGACAGTTCAGCCTTCTGATTTTTGCCTCCTCATGTCAGTTTCCTCTAGCTCACTCTAGTTATTTTCAGAGAGTTTTCTAAGGAAATGGTTCTTATATGATTTTACCACATGTGTTTGCATACACTTCTGCCCATTTTCTCTTTCGTTATTTCCTTTCTCCCTTTTTCCTCCTTTCTCCTTCCCTCTCCTCTATGATATTTAGCTTATTTTCCCAAGCCAATCCCACAGGAATAACGGTATTAGGGAAATAGATGGTGAAGTAAGGAAAAGAAATCCCATGAACGTAATTTCTGAAGAAAAAAATGCAACCTGTGCTCAGTATCAATTAGGCATGAGAGGTCTCAGTGCTTGGTGAAGTTTTACCTCTCATTATGTTTTCTGGAGTCTAATTGGGGAAAACTTCTGGGGGAAGAATTCCCATTGCTGAACCACTCACTCCTACGCGTATGGTGAGTAAGCTCATGCTTAATGTTGATGTAACTCAGTCAGAAGAGTGGTCAGCTGTGGCACAAAAGACATTTGGCTTCGCTAGTTTAGCCTCATTGAATTACATAAAACTTGTTTTATATCTCCTTATGATATCAGATATTTGAGCAAGGTTTCAAAAATCCAGTATTAGGTTTCAAAGTTTCCTGCTTTGTCTCTCAGAGGAACTATCTGCAGTACATTCCTTAATTCAAACTATGTGCTGCTTTTTTTTTTTTTTTTTGTCCTATTTCTTTTGAGGGCTCCTTTGCTATCTTCAGTATGGTTGTTTTCAAGAAATCAGACACTTTTTGGTTTCTGCCACACTGTCTTCCTTTCAATACCTCCCAAATATTTTTTCTTCATTTTTCTCTAAGAATCAACATGGTTTCATTTTATGAGCAATAAAAGTTTGTAACTTGATTTCCTCTCTAATATATGTGCGACTCTATTTGTTATCCTGCAGAGAGATTTTCAGGAATTCTCCAGGTCAGGATTTCTCCACGGTGGATTTTACAGGCTTGAGAAATAATTGTTCTTCCTTGGCTGTTTGTGCTTTGTAGTCCGTTCTCTAGGCTGGCTTCATGTGCATCACCATAGTTTCTCTGCAGGGCAGGAACTGCCACGTGTGGCCAGCTGTCCACCTTGTGTAAAACACAGATGGTCACACTGTGTTTCACTAAAAACCTGAAGCACTGTTCACACAGCTGAATAGAACTTTGAGGGGAAACCAGTGGGAGAAGTTAATTTGTAGAAGAAAAGAGGAGAAAGTAGTCAGATATTTTCTCTAAGGTTAGTACCAATCAAAATGTTGGTAAGAAAACGTGCCAGAATACTGGAGTAATATACGAAGATGTAGAAATCACCAATGAAACATGAGCTAGGATATTTATCTATGTTTGTGCCCTTAGGTCTCTGTCAGACAGTCCTGAATCATCCTTTTGAAGTAAACAGAAGTTATGACATGTGAAGATGATGAATTTAAGGACCCAAAAATATGCTGTTTTCCACAACTAACTGCTTTCAGGTAACCTTCAATTTGGCTGCTGTTATGTTTTATAATGTATATTGTAGCTCTCTTTTTTTTTTTTTTTTCCCCCTCCTTTTGCTTTTGTATTGCTTTAAAAAGACAACAGAACATGCTGTGAGTTAATGTTTCACTTGTAAAAGGTTATGGATTAAGCTCAGCTGGTTTCTCAGGCTGACACAGGGTTCATGATTAGAAGAATGAAAACAAACATGAATTGAAAATGTCACTAACCTTTATTGGGCCCTGAAAATCCCTGAGCCTGCATGACAGGAGGCTTTCCTGTTTTCAACAGGATAAAGAAGACTGAAACAAAACAGCATGGATCTTGGCTATTTGCATCTTTTAATGAATGCTCTTCACGTTTGGGTCCCTTTATCAATCTCCCAGTTTTCAAGGGTTTAGCTGTGAAAGTGCGGATGGTATCACATACTCTTATGAACCATGGAGTAGACATCTGTCTAGGAGGCTTTTTTCCTCCAAATTATGCTCAGTGTAAAGGACCATGTCTTAAGCTTTATTTATGACTGCGCATGGATAAGGTAGCCAGTTATCCAGTCTGAGTGATAGGCCAAATAAAACCATCTCTAAATAATGCCACCATTTTTTTTTTTAATTTGAAAAATTATTGTTATAAATTCAATATCAGAATATGTTTTGAATGTCGAAACAGTGTAATGGAAAAAAAAAAAAAAGCTCACCTTTTTTTTAGGAAAAAAAGTCAGTTTTTCCTCTGACAGTAGAAGAAGTCCTGTCTAAGCCAAGTTAGGAGAAACTTGAAGCAGACTTGAACAGGCTGGAGAGGAAACCAAAAATGCCCCTGGGCTGTGAAGCTTTACTCTGTAAAGAGCACAAGTTCTGGCCCTGTGTCTTAGACCTACATATTGAAAGAATATATTGCATGGTGTGCCTGCACTTCCTCTGCACTTATTCTTCCTATGCCTTAGGGAAGGATTACATACAGCACTTGGCCTTGGAGACTCAAATATTCCCTGCTTACTCATTACCTTACACTGCTCAGCTGATTTTTCCCGGTCAAATTACTGAACACACAAAAGAATTATCAAATGTTTTTAGTCTAGGCAGTGAAGAAACAAAGTCTGTGTTTTCCTTGATTTTAAAATTTTGAACTGCATGTTTTAGTTACAGCTGTGTCACTGCTTCACTGATTTCATAGGTAACCTGAGAGAATGCTTTATGGAGGAAGAACACCAGGGGATCCTGTGACCAAATGTATTTCCTCCTCCTGAACTATAAATGTCTGGCAGATATGGAATTTTTGCCTCACAAAATCAAATTTGCTTTTTTTTTTTTTTGTGCAGTGAGGCAACACAGACCCATGCTTAGGACGTAATTATTTAATATATCCCACTATTTCATGGTGCAACTCTGACCTGTAACTGAGATTTAATGAAGTGCTTTGGCAGAGAATTAATATTAGAAGAAACACAAACCTGCAATTGTTAAGTCTCACTTCATCCAATTATAGCTTGTTCTTAAGTTACATAATCTATTTTACAGGTTTTAGTATAGGAAAAGAGTGATCTCTCACAGCATTTTAATGAGGACCAGTCTTTATCTCAAGCTATTTCAGTCTTTTGCAAATATTGAGGAATGCTATATCTGATAAAATTTACTTAGGTATCTTAATGATATAGAACTCTAAACAACTGTTTCAAAATTGGCCGTGTCTCTAAATGTGCATGGACATGCGACTCTCATTTATTGAAAGAGACAAACCATATCAATGAACTGAAAATTAAGTAGATGGCTATTAGGTGCTCTAATCCTAGAGAGCTCCTTGTCTTCTGTTGACATAAGAAGCTCTGTAAGAGGTAGAAGTGAATTCACACTTCCAATTGCACACTAAGTGATGAGACAGTAGGAAACACTGCACAGAGATAACCACATTTCCAATGGGAAGAAATGCTGAGAAATACTGGGAGTGAGTACAACTCTCATGTTTGCAGTTGAGTATCTTGCCTTGCCCCTTCCTGTTTTTTTTCTCTTTCACCTCTCCGAAGTCAGTTTGGAGAGAGAGATTCTTCTCTGCAAATCTGTAATTGCACATGAAGTGTGAGGCGTGCTTCTTACATAATGACAGTTTTAACAGCCTGCAGTTTGACAGTGAAGTCACCCACATGGAGAGCAAGTTCAAGGGAAATTACATCCCGAGGAAATACTTCTAATACTGCGTGTGGCTGGGATGAATAGAGAATGGACAGCTTCTCTTCCCAGCTGTGATTTGACTAAGATCAGATCCACTTGGTGTATATCTCACAGGTCAGCTCCTGAAGATCAGGCTTTCTGCCTTGTCTGGAAAGATCAGCCAGTTGAAGTGTGGGAATGACACCATACTGATAAGTGCTTTCAGGACTCCAAAATTTCAGTTCATTCCTAGTGCAGAAACTTAGTCTCCCGGGAGATTTGACCTGTGGAAACCTGAGAAATCTTTGAGGATCTGAAATTTTTATTTGGATACTTAGAGTGATATTAAGATGCTTTCATTCTCCTCTTGAATCTAACATATGGAGGGAAATTTTTAACAATACACAGTGCATTTAAATGAATTTGAGCACGTCATTTTGATTTGTCAAAGGTGCATGGGCAATTCACTTTATTTTAGTACCATTTGGCTGAGACGCATGGGAATTTTCAGCAGAAAACCAGTTAGAATGAGACTAGGACTCTTAAATACCCTTATCTATCTATCATCTCTCCATCAGTCTGTGTGTTTAGACACTGAATACATTTGTGGAATTAGCCCAATGGGCAAAGGCTCCAAAGGCACTTATGTGCCTCTGAAAATATTTCTTACAGCATTATCCTGGTGCATTATATGTTCTATGGTAATAGAAGATGCAGAGAAGAAAAAGAGTAAGTGCTGTTCTTCTCATTTTATCTCAAGCTATAGTAGTTAGATCCTCATGTTATTTCTCTGGGAAAAAAGAAAAAAAAGATCCACATTGAGAGCATATGGAGCAATGTAACATCATTTAGGTTAATTTGCTAAGCTCTTGAGAGCTGTTTCACGTAATATATAGTGCTATGTGATGTCTTGGCTTACTCTGGGCTGTGTGAGAGTTGAGCATGAATTCAGGCATGACTCAGTGACTGTCATTTTCAGTTCTGAAAATACATGGACACATCTGATTTATAATAAAAGCGAGGAGCTAGTGACACTTGGCGTGAGGAAATTACTGTTCAGTTTGGTGCCAGTTCCTGTTAAACTCTTCCAATGTACTTTTGTCTTGGCTTGAGTTCTTTTGACTGCTCAAGCAGAAAGGTTTCCTGCAGCAGAGAACTGAGCCAACCGTTTAGAGAGTGGTTTTTTCCCCTAATAAAACTTTACTGCACTTTTATGTGAATTTAGTGTTCATGAAAGGCCCAGCTCTGATGGCCTGGGCAACAGAGACCCTAAGTTCATGCACAGCCCACAGACAATGCAAGCAGGACTGGCTCTGCCCTGCCATGTGTATTCTTCATCACAGCCCAAATGTGATTACTGCTATAGGTAAAACCTTGATTCAGTCTCTGATGATCTTCCATCATTTCCTTTTCATCTGACACCATCACAAGGCTGCAGTCTGATTTCAGCCTTGAAACTGAAAAAAAATTATGCACGTGAAGGCCATAGACTGTGAGAGTCACAATAAGCAATGTACCAAGTGATAGGACACCTACCCCAGCTGGTACCAAGTGCAAAGATATGACATTTGACATGCTCCTTCCATTAGCTGGACAATCTGACCTCTGAAAATATAGTAAGAGTTTATTGAGCAGCCCACTGCTGGGAGCAATGCCTAGGAGGGAAATACAGACACTCCCAATCACACAGGGCTCTGCAGGAAAGGAGGCTCAAGCATCTTGAGCTGTCTTAGGTAGAAAATCAGTAGGTGGGTAGTTCAGCAAAGAAACAGTGCCTCTAAGTAGCACAGCTTTAAGCTCCAAGGCCATGTTTTACAGGTATCTTGTTTAAGCATTGAGAATCTATAAAATTATGGCTGAGTTTCTCAGACTATAAGGAAATCAAGATGCATTTTGCCATTTTTTGCTTTGATCAGTATTCTCTTTGAGTGTTGCTGAAAGTACACAAATTATGGTCTGTGAAACAGTTAAGGTAATTGACGCTTTCGCTGAAGCTTTAAAACATATAAGGAGCTAAACAAGAATGGAAAATGTGCTTCTCAGTCTGGTATGTGCATTTTCTGGAGGTGGTAAGAATACTTTCTAAGTAAAAAAAAAAAAAAGAAGTTATATATTATATAATGTTATGTAATATAGCATCTTATTATTTGGGTCTTTCTGAGAGAGTAATGTCAGGACATAACCAGTTCTCTTGGAGAACTGTCTAATTGTGATCTGAGATTAAATGTCTCGTATCTCCCCAGTGATTCACCTCTGAGGGGGTTAAAGAATCATTTAAATCCATTAAGCCTCCATTAATCTGAGGCTGAATTCAGTACAGATGACAGTGTTTTGAGTTGAATGCTACAACTGAAAGACAAAAAAAATCTCACCTCAAACTGTACTTTCTGAGCCTGCTATTTCAAGTAAAACATAGTTGAATGTTTTCTTAATTTTTCTTTACTGTTTGTGCTTCTTAAAGGCCTTCTGGGATCTATTATTGTTACGCTTAATTTTACGTATTAAGAAATGGGATGGAGAAGGGTTTGACAGATGTAACGGGATATGTCTCACTCACCTGTCCACCTACAAAGCATTCTTACTGTATGCCGCTGCAAACTCTACTTCTTTCCAAGCTGCAGCTTGGCCCTGAGAAGCTTATTTCATTGCATTTCGCTTCACAGTTCCCTATGAATGCCTTGTACATGAAGCTGTTGTATGTTTTCTCATTTTGGGAGAACTGCTGGGAAAGCTAATGTGTTAATATGTTTCAAGTAATTCTGTACATGAACCGCAGAAGGTTTATTGCAGATTGTTGTGTGATGGTATCTTGGATTCCTTACAAAACAACCTACTTAGGATCTGAATCTTCAAAACGTGCCAAGTGCATGGAGGCTTATTGTATTTAGTTTAACAACACTAATTTAATTAAATTGACTTATTATCTGGCTTTTAATTTGCAACCTGAGTTTAATGAGACCTTTTCTGTTGTTTATCTTCCTCTTACTCTTTTCTCCTCCCCTCCTTTCTCCTTTCTCTTCTCCTCATCCACTTCCTCTCTGTTTCTCTCCCTGAGAGCTTGGGCAGTATCAGAAGACTCTGGTTTGAAAGATGAGCATGTATAGGTAACAATCCTTTGGAGCTGTGCAGAACTATTAATGGTCACTGGCATGCACCACCCTTGGAACACCATCACTAAGATAATGGAGAACTCCCATGAATCTGGGCCACTCAAAAATAGGGCAGATTTTGGGTGGTAATTAAAGGCTCATTGTACTTTACTCAGCATAGAGGAAACTGCTTAGGAGTTTTCTAGCTGGCAAAAGCTGTATGAACTGCTTACCAGCCCCAAATCAGAGCCTCAAATGCTTGTAAGTGCCCCCACAGATTCATTTTGTCCCTCTGTGTGGCACAAGTGTGGTGCAGCACATGTGCGGTGCTGCCTCCTACCCAGGAGCAGGGCCATCTGATGCAAAGCAAGGCAGCAAACTGCACACAGGAAGGCCCTTGCCTGTTGCCACAGCTGCTCCCTCTGCTAATTGATGCTCTGTATCTGTGGCATCATCCCAGCAACTATTTTAGTTGGTTTCCAGCTGTGAAGGTTTTTGTCTCACAGCTAGTGGTATCTTTGCAGCTGGTAGAGCAAGGTAAAAATAAACACAACTAATTCAGCACAGCAAAGAGAGGGAATATTCACAGAAATTAAAAAACAATTTTATCCAAAGTTATCTGGGAGAGATATCTGCATCTGTGGGGAGAAAGGCTGATTTGCGTTGACAAGAGTTGATCACTTGCCTGTGAGTTCCAAGGAAATGGAAATATTTTCATGTGAATATTGAACTTATAGAATGTGTTAAATGCTGAAATTTTCCACACATAAAACTCTGGTGGTGTTATTGACAGCTCCCCTACAATGTTCCACACATGTATGTTATGGAACATATATGTTCAAATATGTACTGCACAGGAGGCATTCTGAAGAACGAGAATATATTCCTTCACTTATGATTTTTCATAAACTCCCCGCTTTGTTTTCAAGCAACAGTTCAGTAACTACTGCTTGTTAGAGGGCTTGTTATTCCTCCCTTATCTTGGGTATTTTTCTTTCATAAAAAAAGATTAAAAAAACCTGTACTACTAAGCTCATGTCTCCTGTTTCTCCATAACTCCTCCAATAATACCCATCTTAACCCTCCAGCAGCACCAAAGGTGGCTGTGCAAGTTCTAGGTTGCACCACCACATTTTGGTATTTATATTTCTTTTAAATCCTTGTAGTTTCTCATAGTATTATGAAAAAAGTAGGACACGTACTTGATAATGCTTAAAACTATCTTAGGACACTCCGTATCTTAGGAAACTTTAAGATTTCAGAAGGAAAATTTTGATTACAACATAGGAAAATGTATATATATATATATATTTTATTTGTTCTTTCCTTTGCTTTCATGTTTTGAAATATTTATTTTTACTGTTTTACCTTAAAGTTTTGGACACAACAGCATGATTCGTACATCACAAACCCAGATGCACAGTGCCTACATTCTAGCTTGGAAATGTTCTGCTTATTTCAAATTTGCAATACATTACTTTCTACCTGAATTTAGGAAACTGACATTCACAAGTCAGCCACATTACCTAGAATGCAAATATATGCTATTGTAGTGGCAATGCATGAACTAACAGAAAATTAAAATAAATTTAACTTTACTTACTTTTATCAAATTGGCTTGCTCGACTATTCTGTTTACAGTATCGTCAAGTGTTTATTTAATACATTCTTATCAGTTCTGTTTTATAATGAAAAATTGATACCCAGGAACATAGGAACATAAACACTGCAACATAAAGTAACTTCATGGAACTACATTTAGATAATCAACAATTATAGACCAGTCCCCACTTCATCTTTTTTTTTTTTTTTTTTTTTTTTTTCCCAGGATATTCATTTATTGACTCCCTCCAAAGGAAAAATATTTAAAAAATTTAAAAAATAGTATGGTTTACGTAGCTTCTTAAATTCTGAATTCCCTTCAACACTATTTCTAAATCCTGTGTGTGATGGGACTGAAACCCACCTGTTCATGCAGAATAGCTTGCACACCAGCTGGCCAAAACCTGATGGAGGACTTGCGTCATGACATTCTCTGCCCACAAACCTGAAATTGCTGTACTGGAATGAGTGCTATTTAAAGAGAGATCTCTTCATTGCTAAAACACTTAATCCATTCTTTCTCATAAAATTCACTTACGATAGTTTCCATGGATGTCCTTCCTTAAGGGGTCAGTGACTCAAGGAGAAATAAATTTGAGAGTTGGGAGATGAAAAACTTTCTTGGATAAACAAGTTTCTCTCTTTTCTCAGAGCATCCCATTCCTTTTATCAAGCCACCTAGGTAGATTCTTGAATCCACCTCCTGGAAAGGAGGCATAAACCTGCTGCCTGAGCTGTCTTAAGAGCTTGATCAAGCAGTGAGGTAAGTGCCTTTTACTACAAGGAAACTACAAGGTCAGAAGGGGAAAAAGTACTGAGAAGATGGTGATTATGAGCATTAATCATAATAATATCGAGTTCTTGTGTAGCACTTTTCATCAGGAGATTTTAAAGCACTGTACAAAAGAGACGAGTCTCATTATCTCCATATTTTAGATCTAAAATGTGACCTCTGCTACCTTAAGGCTGTTTTTTCGCGGGTAAAAAAGGCTTCTGGAATCAACAGTTCTTTTTTTCTGTTAAATTTCTAATCATCACAATGAAGATTTTTGAAATCTACTTGTTTCTGTGTTCTCTGTAATGGAGCTGTAATTGTTTTACTTACAGCCCAGGATATCATGAATGAATTAATGTGATTTTTATCAGCACACTGACATCAGCTGATTGAACTGACATGTTAGCATTCTCAGGGTATATTCTGAACAATTATTTTAACACATCCAATTATGTTGAGAAATGGTAACTGATTATATTGGTGTTGCAATGCACAGTGAATTGGATCGGTGTAAACCACTTTCAAGGAGGTCTTAAATGAATCCTCTTTTTCATTTGCAGAGGACTGATAGATGGACCTTTTAGAGCATCCTAGTTGAGAGCATGCTACCTACCAGCAGAGGGGTGGTCTTTCAAAACATGCTAATACTCCTGCAACGACTGTCTGGGTCCTAAATGCCCATAAAAGAATTATATTAAGCAAAACATCAATATTATTGTCAGTTGTTATTGAAGGGCAAATTTTTACCTCTGCTGTCAGGAAAATACTTGTTTTACAAGATGGACCCTGACATCTTCCAGCATAATTTTATTGTAAGAGAAAAGGCTTATGTTTGCAGAACAGTGAAGGACAAAACTGGGGTGCTCACCTTTCTTCTTGATGCAGAGTGGCTCAAGTATTTGCTGAGGAATTGTTCTTGTTCCCCTCTGGGGCAAAGTTTGGTTTCCATGAGTAAATCCTACGAAAAAAGAGAGAGGGGGTTGTGAGGAGCTTTACATATCAGAAAAGAAAATCAGAATAACAAAAATATCCCGTTGTCTATGTTCAGAAAATTGCTCTAGAGAGGGGGTGCGTAGGTTGCTCTGAAAATAATGCCCCATATTTACTTCAATGGAAACTCCAACAGATACAATGAGCACAATAACACTACTTGATTGGGCAAATTATCTGTTACAAAACACTGTTCTTTAACAGTCACCACCATTAGCTACGCATTTTCACCAACAATGAACAAGAACCTACATGTCATGCTCATAAAAATCTGCACCAATGGAAGTGACCACTGGCACCGCAGCTGAAATGCACCACCTCAGTGTACTCCACTGTAATCCATTGTTTTTCTCCATGAACGTTCAGCAAGTGTTGAGGAAGCTCAGTGGGTGCCATTTTTTTTCTGCATGGACAAATTCACACACCTTTGCGTCATGCGCACTTCGATGCCAGATACCATTTTGTCAGACTGCCCCCTTGCTGCGATCTGTCACACAGCAAGAGCGTGTAACTTGGTGGGAAGGGTTCAGCCTCTAGTGCCATAGCACCAACATCTGCCTCCAGTGTCGTGGGTCACCATAATAAAAAAATAGGAGGCAAATTATAACTGTTTTTATTTATAAATGTTTTTATTTATAACTGTATATTACAACTGTGCATTTTTCAGACCCTGCTTACAGGAAATTGTTTTGTGAAATAATGTTTTTTACAAGATCAGTATTGAGCACTGATGTGAACACAGACTTCTAAAGAAGCTGCTTTGCGCAAAGCTTGCCTCACTCCTTCTTAAGGAAAGACTATATAAAAGAGATATAAACGATGAAAGGGAAAAAAGAAGTGAAGCTACTGGAAGATGCTATGTTTCAGGGAGTTGCCTGTCTTTCTACCAAGGGCGAGACCTTGTCATCAAGTAGTTGCAAACATTTTTGTCTAATAATAAATTATTGTGTGTTTTCCATTTGGCTAAGAATAACATGAATGTCAGACACTGGGCCTGAAGTACCATCTGCTCATTATTTTTATTTAGAATTTCTCTTTTCATTAAGTCTATTTTGTTTGCATAAATAAGGAATAAATAAGACAGATCACTTAAAACTCTATTCATCAGTCTTGTTAGCTCCATGGGAGCTGGTGATAGAATTTGTAGTTCCTGTACCAGCTGAACTTAAGGCTGTTCATGAACTTAAACTTCCTGACACTGACAAAATGAGGCTAGACTTTAGACTTCAGCTCGTAACAGTTTTCTGACTACTTATTTGGATTCCCAGGTGGATAACTGTTACTTCAGTTATTTCAGAAAAGTAAGTTTCTCGTTAGTATTCTCTCTGTTAGTTTATTTTTTTTTTCCAGTTAAGTGTGGTTATTCCTTGTAAGAATTAATTTACTGAGTTATTGGCAAGAGTTTTCATACTGGATGTATAACATCAAATTGAATGCCTTTTAAACATTTTTAGCAAATCCTGTGGGAATTTTTGCAGTATTTTACCCTTATAGTATCTATATACTAGGTAGGATTTGCATAACATGACTGATTTCTTTCCAAGCTGAAAAAGTATGGGGACACAGCAGTTGCTGACACAGCTTTACATTTCTAGAGTAAGTGGGTACTACATTTTGTAAAGACTTAGTGCAAAAACAACAATTTATGGCTTACTCATGTCATGTGATGAGTGCTGTCAGCTTTCAGTGTACAAAGTGAACTGGGAAATTCTGCATGTCCTGAGACCCACTCCCAGATGAATGCCACCCTTCAGATCATACTTATTTCTTTCCAACTCCTATCAAATGTTTACAGATGTGTTGGTTTTCAAAATGAAGAAATAAAAAATTAATGTCTGTGTAATTTTTGGACATTGATGGACATTGGAAAGAGAAACAACTTTGCACTGAAAAAAAAACAAAAAACAAACAAACAAAAAAGGAAACAATCCAGCAGCAGCCTTCAAAAGGCCCTTCACATAGGAATTCTGCACTTTCGAGCTACCTAGGAGTCAAGTGGCCCATAAAGCCTTTTCCATGTCATAATAGAGACCATGTTTCTGTGAACATAGAGCCACGTTTCAGACTCACACAGGGCAAGTGGAAAAACTGTAGAGGATGCCAGAAAACTGCAGAAGACATTGAGAGGATGAAAGAAAATCAAGAGCCAAAATAAGCAAGGCAAATGAATCTCTAGTGTTTTTGTTAGCAAGGCAAACAGTGTGCTAGTGCTTTAGCTTCTCTTGTTCTGGTTAATTTCATGAGTAGGGATTGCCCTACCCAGGTGGGCACTGGGATGGGGTGGAAAATGGGATGTCTTGCAGGTGAGCCAGTTAGAACATACTTAATGCAAGTGTTGTTTTGAAACATGTTTTTGTTTAAGAAACTAAGAATGCAAACCCTGACAACCCAATATAGCAGAAATTTTGTTTTCCAGAAGAATTGATGAAAATATGGATGTGATTAGATGTACAATGCCCACAGATTTCATGTTCCTACTCTCCCTCTAGGACCAGGGTGTTGCATCCGATGGCAGTAAGCTGTTTTCAGTGTGTGGCACCACAATGTGACAAGAGAGCAATGCCAGATTTCCTGCAGCAGTGTCCCTGGCCACAACACTGCTTGGACCCTCCTGCTAGCACAGATGAGGACAGGGACTCATCCTGCCACTGGCAGATGCATTCCGGATGTTGCTCAGTTTCTGGCTTTTGGTTCCATCTTTGTGCAGAGTTTTATAGTATGTCTTCAGTTACAGTTCATAAGCAGATGCATAAGAAAATATCACATTTACACTGGGAGGCCTCCATTCCATTTATTTAAGCCCAACCAACTCTGACTTTGTCCTCATTTCAGTACAGTACACTTTTCTTCTCAAACCGTGAGAATTAACTGCCGTGAATATTTAACAACTGATTTCCCAAGTTGGTGATCTTGTTCAAAAGGTTACAGTACCATGCTTTCTTGACTTTAATTTAGTGTGTCTTTCATTTTGCTGTCTGATCTGTATGACACTTACAAGGTAAATGCTCTGTTTTGTCACTGCCCCAGTACAGTAAATCATATTCCTGTTATTTATCACACTGATTGTTTCTGTGAATAAAGATCATTGATGAAAAGCTACTTAGAAAATAAGACTTAATTTGTGAATGAAATAAGCTTAACCTGGAGGGAATCTATTGATGTTTTTCTTCCCTGATCACTGAATAAAATATGTAAAAGATTACTTTCTTGTACTGGGGTGCTATATTTTGACAGGACATCAAAATCCTTACATCTAATGACAAAAGTACGTCTAGATTTGAGTGAGTCAAGAAAAACGAACATGTACTCAGCTGTACTAGGTGTTAAGGACAGATTATTCGTGTCCTAGACTTTGTTTGCTCCATCTCTTAATTACAGATTAAAAACAAGAAAATTAACCAGCTGTAATCATGAGACAGACCTCTCATCTGTGTTGTTAGGCTTGGAGACAAAGAAATAAGATCAGAGAACAAATGCTTAGCTGTGCCTTTCTCTCTTTGCCTTTCCATTTATGAAGAGCAAGCTAAACACACTGGATGACCAGTATGCACTCAACCAAACAGAACATCTTGTGTTTTACACAGCAGATAGTGCTCCTCTTACAAGTAATGTGATGTGAATATGTAGACTGAGGAAATGTGAGCTGCCGGGATGGTCCTTCATGGGGAATGCTCAAGGTGACTTGGGGAGATGCCTGGTATGAAGCGCCATGCAGACCTTCAGCTTCTCTTGAGAACTGAAGCACACAGAGAGTCCTATGAAGGTCTCAATTATGGTTAGATAATGGTTGAAGGATTGAAATGAGAGAAGGGCCTGGTTAGTTGCTTTAGCTGTTTATTTGCTTACCCTTCATATCCCTTTCTGAAGTCTCATCCTGGAGCTTCTTTTCTTCAGATCCTAAGCAGAAGTGAGAAAAATTTGGGCTTGATTGATTTTCCCTCCCCTCTTTGCTGAGGGAAGTAGAAGATACATTATTGTGAGAAACTATCATGTCTTTCTCCCACCACATATCTTGTTCATTGATTGCCTATGCAGAAGACAATGTTAACACCTGAGGAGCACGTGCAGCGACAGTCATACTCTGTGATCATGTACGACCTTTCCTGCAGTCACAGATAACAGTGCACATGCAACCACGGTCAGAGTTGGCTCATTAATAACGGTGCAGAAAAAAAGTAGTTTAGATTTATCTTCAAGGCCAAAACTGGAAGTTTGACTCTTCCAAATTAGTCAGCTTTGAAATCTATGCATTCCAACAGGTAACTGTTCTGTATAGTCAAAGAACTCAAGACATTTCCAAGACTATACATATGTAACTTGCTGATTTATGGGCTGGAGAGATGTGAAGGGAATGAAGCGACTGTAAATAATACAGCAATAAGTTGTGAGTTATACGGGAAAAAAAGATTAAGTTATCAATGCATCTGTTGGAATTTCCTGAGTTAAAATATGAATTTCTGATTAAGAGAGATTTTTAAATGGCTTAAATAGTTGGATAAAGATTAGCAAAAGAAAATCGATGAGAAACATCCCAAGTCTCCTGAAGCATTCAAAGTCTTTTCTACTAATTTTCCCTTTCTTTGTAAATAAGCTAATTAAGAACCAGAGCTATAGTTTCTTCCAGTTTTTTTAAATTGAAAAATAGTTGAATTAAAAGAAAAGATCAATGTTAAGACAAAAATTCCAATAAATAAATAAATATATTTCTTGAAAATGTGCTGGTAGATGTTAAAGATGCTTCTGATTTTTTTTCTTCCTGTTTTTATGCTTTCTGTGGTTCCCAGTGTCTTTCAGCAAGCAATAGACTGTTAAAATATCTGATTGCTTTGCTACTTTTGGGAAAATCAGATAGATTGCTTTTACGTGTGCTGAAGAAACGTAGTGCAAGTTTTCATACCACTAAAACTCCTTCTGTGAGTCAATCTATTTCTTGAGAGCGTTCCTGAGCACCCCAGTTAATTCAACCCAATTGCTACTGCTGGCATTTTGCCTTTCTACATCTTCTCTCCAATTGTAATCAGCTGCTCTGTAATCATTTGTTTCAAAGTGAAATGGATGTGGATTTATTATTTTATCTATCTATCTATGTATTTATTTATTTATTTATATCTGTGTTCTACCATTCCAAACACCAGCAAAAAGAGTGTCAGTACCATGGAGTTATTTGGGCTATTCTTTCTTTGAAGGAGGAAAGAAGATAGTAGGCTTCTGAAGATA